GAAGTGAAGGCTTAGAACGGACACTGAAGGGAATAGGAGAGGGAGCTCTGCCAGAACAGATGAGAGAGTAAGAGAAGGCACGGGGAGGGTGGAGACCGTGAATGAGTAGTGGTGCCAGCCTCTGTGCATGTGGGTTCCCCCCGTGCAGGTAGCACCCCAAATGCAGCCTCAGCAGACGCTGATGGTTAGATTAGTATTAGAATTAGGATTGCAGGTTTGCCTTGTCTTGTTGGGACTGAAGGGCCAGAATGTTAGGTGGTTGAGATAACTTGAGAGAGAAATTCTCTTCCTGGGTATGAATGGAAGTGAAACCAGGGTGGGGCTGCTAAATTGGGAGACAATGTAAAGGATCTAGTGTAATAACAACTAAAGGGCAAATACAATGGGAGGACCCTGTGAATGTACTGGGTGGAGACTTCTGTCAGAGCATAGAGTTTATGATTCCTTAGAAGAGATGCAGTTTAAAAAGAAAAAGTCCAGTGTCAGGTGCAGTTTAATATATTTCATCCCTGTAAGTTGTTTAGGGCTCTGGAATTTCCAATTTCTCAACAAGTGTTAAATCAGGAAACATTACTCTAAAACCATATATTGTCACAGGAACTTAAGAGCCAGAAGTAAAACCACGCTTAAGAAAGTTTGGCACTATTAATTAAAAAAACAAAAACAAAAACAAAAAACCTTAGGCATATATCCATGGCCATCTGCATAGAGCACAGAACTTTCCTAACATTCTCATTATGGCAACAAAGCAAAATTGATTTTGATATGAAATAGCATTATTTCTAAACCTTGTGTACAGTTACTTTGCTTATAGCTTGAAGTTCCTTCAGAAAGTGTTGGAAATTAATTACAAGTTTCTATTTTAGCTTTTTAATGAGTGCAAAGTGTTGTGATGAGACTTTGCAAAGAGAAGAGATCCTTTTTAAAAAGAAATATGACAGTGCATAAGTATCATTATACTTAATATGTTACTGAAACAAAGGTTATTTGTGGTGGGAAGTCTCAAATGACTTTAAATACTTAAAGGAAACATTAGTAAGCTGTCACTTCTATAGTTTACCATAGTTTAATAAAGACATTTCTTTAATAAGATTATGTTTAAAATGGAGCTATGGCAAAGAAAGGAGTTACTGCCTATCACACTAAAAAATCAGTTTCACATCCTTGGAATGCTTCTTAGCTCTAATTTCCATATTATTTGAACTTCAGTGTATATTCACAAACAAAAAAAGCAAAAAGATCATTAGAAGCTCTCTTTTTCTACCCATAATACAATTTTATAGCTGAAATTGAAATTGGATGAAACTGTTTCACTAGTATCATAAATGTTTTCTAAAGATACATTAAATAGAATATTTTTATGTTTTAATATATTTTAATGAGCACTGGAATTAATGTGAAAGTTTTTGAATTTTAAATAGAGTACAAGTGATTGATTGATTTCTCTGTGCTCTGCTATAGCTGATTTGTTAAGAAATTATGTTCAAAATTAATAAAGTGCAAAATGCTCAAGATGCTTTCCAGAAATTGTCAGGGTCATCCTTTTGCAGCTGTCACTGGGTATGTGTGTTGGGTATTTTAGTTGTATAGAGTGGTTATTGGGTGATTGTTGATTTCAATTTTTTCAATTTTTTTTATCTTATAAGAGATGTGGAAGGCTTTTGGAACTTAGAAAATTGCAGTGAAACATTTTGCTGTATTCAGAAAAAGTATTTGGTTGACTTCAAAGAATACTGGTCTTATTTCTTCTACTACCATATAATAATGTATCAATTTTCCTTCAGAAATATTTAGAGAATTCTAAATTAGAATTTCCTTCTGAATCTTTCACAATTACTGCCTTTACTTTCTGTTGTGCTTCTTTCAAAGAGGAGGGGCACAATGTATTGGCCCCAACTGTTTCATGCATCTACTGTAGTAAAATTGAAATGAATGTTAGTCTGTTTTTGGCTTTGAGAAGTTCTGTAGTACAGAAATTTGTTTAACCGTGTTAAGCACATTTCCCAAATTAATCCCACAACCTTATATACAGATGTTAGTAGCAGCATTATTAGTGGTTCAAATGTGGAAGCAACCTAAATGTCTACCAACTGATGAATAGATAAACAAAACATTCATTTTTATGTATATCCATTTAATATATCCATTCAGTGGAATATTATTTGGTCATAAAAAAGAATGAAGTAGGGATACATACTAGCATGTGGTTCAATCTCGAGAACACTATGCTAAGTGAAGGAAGCCAGAAACAAAAGACCACATATTGTGTGGTTCCATTAATATGACATGTTCATAATAGGCAAATCCATTAGAAACAAAGTAGATTAGTGGTTGCCAAGCACTGGGGTGGGGGAGATGGAAAGTGACATCTAATGGGTTCAGGCTTCTTTTTGAGATGGCAATGTTCTGCAATTAGATAGTCGTGATAGTTGCTCAACTCTAAATATACTAAAACCACTGAATCGTACACTTTAAAAGGGAGAATTTTATCATATGTGAATTATGTGTCAATAATTAATACATTTATTTATTATATAAATAATAAAGTTATTTAATGAACAACCATAAAAAAGAGTCTATAGCAACAACTAAGGCAAGAAATAATAAGGGCTTAAAATAAGGCAGTGGCAATAGAAGGGCACTAGAGAGTGCAGGGACTGACTGAATAGCCTCAAAGACTGACTTTTACTAACAGGATCACTGCATCCTTAGGGCCGAAGCCCTAAGGAGATGGGGCTGATGGAACCTGTGGCTAGTTTCACTCAATATGAGGGAGTTCTATACACAACATGCATAAAAACTTTAACAAGGTATAGCTTCTTTAGTCAGCTGTAGACAACAGGGATGGCTAAAACAGTACACAGAATTATGACCTTGCCTTCATACTTTTCATAACTCAAAATATTTTTTGTGCATGTCACTATTCATCAGGGCAAGGTGCTGTGCGAGGGGTGACAGAGGACATGGCCCTTCACTGCAGAGAACATAGTCTTATTGACCTAGTATGATCCACTCAAAAGCTGTGCTCACCTTTCATGAAGAAAGATACTATATGACCTGCCACATGTTACAGACATGACAGCAGAGCACTTGGCTTATAAATTTGGGAAGGTGGACACAGATTTTGGATTGTCTTAATTTTTGCCATTATGCAGAAAAGGCAGATTTCTTGGAGTTGGGTCCTCATTTTAGTCAGTGCCTTGACCTTCTACCTCCTTGGGTGCCAAGGTCGTGATACACCCTTTGGGGCAACCAGCACTAATACTGTTATCCCCTTCACTTTACTTCCCCAGGCTGGGAGTTATGGTTGGCAAGAATGTTAGGAAATCCTTCGGAATTCACTACTGAGTAAAGGCTCACAGGAGGAGTTTCAGATGAGGCAGCAATGGATGGTCTGGTCCCTCAAGTCGGGACTCTTTCCTTCCTCCAGACCCAAGTTCCCTGTGTAAAGCCAAAACCTTCAGCAGAGGAAGCCAGTGTGTTGCTGATATTCTTACCAGGCATTTGAAAAATTGCTTCTAAAGAGGACTGTGTCTAACACAGAGCTGAGTGTGTATCATATTCTCAAAATTCTGTTAGTGCAGATTTCTGAGGTAGATTGGGGAGGAGGAAGGAGCCTTAGTCTTGGGAGTCATGAGAGCGATGCAACTCCAGGCAGCTATGTGGAGAGGCCGGGGGATGAAGCACAGGCTCTGTGGAGTCTCACTGAGTTGGGTGTGAATATAGCTGTGCTTTAGACTGTCTCTCTGCTTAATGTCTGCAACCTGTGGTCTCACGTGTACTGGGGATCCCCATCCTCAGTAGACTGGTGCGAGGATTAAACACAATATTGCACAGAGGACACTTGGGGCATGGTGGGGTGGAGGACAGTCTTGTGGGACGGAGCCTTTCACCTGGGGAATCTGGTGCTGTCTCTGGGCAGATAGCATCAGAATTGAGTTCTTGGACACCCTGCTCGTGTTCAAGAATTGCTTGGTGGTGTCTGTGTGAGAAGACCCCCTCCCCACCAAACACACTTTGAAGTTAAGCACACCCTCACAGCTCCTCATACAGTGGACACATGTCTTTTATGGTAAAAGTATGTAGATTCTTCATGGACTCAGAGAACATGTTTCTCTTGATTTAGGGAAGACAGAAAGAGCTAGCTAAACTCTTGCTTGGTTTTTATAACTTTTTTTTTCAGCTCCTCATGATTGGAATCTTCTAGGAATTCTCCATCCCTTCCTTTATGACTGGTGTTTCTGAAGATACCATTGCAGATATTTGGCAACAGCACGGTTCATTCATTACAAAACCTCAGCCAAGTTCTCTGAAGAACTTCCCATTCCCACCTACCTTCTTCAAATTTTTTTCTTGCAAGGAGACACTAGCTCTTGGTGAAATTTGGGGAGTTAGGATGTAGGGCTCTTCATGTGGATGAAATCTAGAACATCTCCCTTCTACTAACCTGTTCAATCTAAACTCCTTTCCCTGTGAGAGAGTGAGCAATCCTGTGTTCTGTGTTTTCACCCTGAGAAGCCTTGTGTGGGTACCCTGTGCAGAGCCAAGTCGGTCTCTGGGACAGGCAGAGAACAGCCTCAGGAGTGACTGAGGAAGCCAAGGAGACAGGAATAGGATAGAAATCACACCGTGGGTTCCTGGAGGAAGAGTGTGTTTCTCTTCCCAGGCTGATGAGTTGGGGCTGCCATGGGGCTTTGCCGTAGTCCCCCAGGAAAGGGTCCCAGGCACAGGAGTTAGACCAGTGGCAAACTAGCTTCGAAGTTTTCAGCTGTACAAGTGAAACAAGGAGAGCCCTTAGAACTGAAGGAAGACTCTCAGGTTCAATTCCAGCCTGTCTGCAAGCCCCTTGCTAAGGAGGCCCATCCTTCCCAGTTAACCAAGATCTGCACTAGAGTCTGAGAGCCCAGATGGTCACGCATGAGAGGAAGAGCAGGCCTCATTGGGGCTTCTCACCACTGGCAGGGACGGCGGCACACAGAGGCGTTGTGTTGGCTTCCGAGTCTAGATCTATAAATATATTTATTATAATATAACAAGAACTTAACAATAAACATATACTATATACAATACCATTACAGAGAACCCTGTTTTATGTCATTCACAGAAATAGCCAGTTTTGCTCCAGTGTGGTAGATGAGGAGAGAAACGGAATTTCAATGTCATCTGTGTTGAGTCTTGCTGACCACTAACACCTCCTTTGGAGGCAGATGCACACCAACACTAACATTAGCCCTGCCCCAGGCAGTTAGGAATTTGTGCTCCAGTCCTTGGGTTCACACTTGCACCCTGTTTGACATAAATACTTTAAATGACATACAATGTATGTAGTTTTGTGCTTATTACTTTTTAAAAGAATAAATAATATTAAAAACTGCATAACGAAGCTCAGTATCTTGTCCAAGTGGGAGCCACACTTGTAGTGCTAGAAGTTGGACATCAGAAGTAGAATTTTGTGTCATCAAATACGGAAAGATGGAAAGCATGTCCTGTCCTTGTCTCCTTATAAGTGGTTTTCATCACAAAATGACAGCAAGTTGACTTCCCAGATATAAAAATGGTAAATGTGTATTTGGTACCAACTTCAACTAACCAGCGCAGTGGCAGCAGCGTCCTTCTTGCCCTGGCGTAGGAACTGATCCCCGCTGAGGTTTAAGGGTCTGAGGGCCAGCAGGAAGCCTTTCTCTTGTGAGCCACGGTGCCACCTCTGCCCGGCTTCCCCTTCTCAGGTTGACAGGCCGCCAGAGGAGGGATTTCACTCATGCCCCTCGGGCCTTGGCTGCCGTGGCTCGTCTAAAAAGGCCATCCCCATCCTGAGCGCTCTTGTGGCAGGTGCCTTAATATATCGCTATAAATATAAAAAATAACCTCCTGTGCTTTGCAAACATTTATTCTCCCGCCGTCCCTCCTTCCCTTCCCACCCGGCCTGGAGCTTGACCCCATGGAGGGGCTGGAGTGGTGTCCCAGCTACACCTGGTCTCCTAGACCAGAATATTCCTTCTCTGACAGTGCCTCCATGAGGCACAGCTTTTATGGGGCTGTCTGAGAGTTACTTTTTCCAAAAATAAAAAGGGGGCATTCATCGCCCCACTCCTCCCAGGAGAGATCCTCTATTCTGCACATAGAAAAATTAGAGCAAATGCCCCACTCTGGCACCACCTGCAAAGAGCTTTGGGAATTCGCGCATTATCCCTCTCATGGCCTCTCACTACTTAAAAATAGGCTTTTATTTATCAGGAAAACGCCTTGGAAATCTAAATAATTCGTATTGGATAAGAGAAACCTAGCACAATCATCTTGTCCTTCTCCAGCAAAAACAGGATAGAAACACCCGCGGAGGACAGACAGCTCTCCCCAGCTGCCCTGCTGTGCGGCCCCGGCCACACCCGGCCCTGCACGGTGGCTGGACTTCTCGTCCTGGCGGGGTCCCCACAGCCTCCCGGGCCTCGTGCAGCACAGTATTGTCCCTTCTTTTCTCTCAGCCACTGAAAAGTGTGGATTGGTTAAAAACAAAAGTAGGAATCAAAGTGATAAGGACACTTTGACCTTATTCCAAGAGAGCCTGACACTTAACATTGTCATAGGATAACTGATCTGTGGTTGTTTAGGAATCAAGCTTGCTCTGCAGGAAGGAAAAAACAGCTTCTCTCTCCCAGTTGAAAAATATGTGAAACTATTGCACTGGGCAGAGTGAGCACCCCTGTTCAGAGCAAGCGTCTCCGCAGGAGCCCAAGGTCCCGCTCGCCGGCTCGGTGGTTGCGGTTCCTGCTGCTCAGAGCGCTGTGCCCCCGTGTCCCCCAAAGGCGAGGATGATTTTCTACATTCAGTGTAGAGAGTAATCAAAAATGTTTAGCTCAGTGAGTTCCTTGACTGTGTCTGTCGGCCTCTTATTGGCTGCGGAAAATTGAACTGTGAGGAGCATCTGCCTCCCCAGACTCGTCTACAGTCTCCTTGGGGGCTTTCTGCTAGTGTCAGCCGCTTTGAATATATTTCTTTATCACGACACAACCGTGTCTGAATACAGGGCAGGGCATGTGGGGTAGGAGGGTCCATGTGTTCGTTGTGGGTTCATAGGCTTCCATGTTGCCCAGGGCAGGTCCCTCACTGCTCACAATGCCTCCGGTTGCATAAATCTTGCCATCAAGCACCACGGCACTGTCAGGGAAAAGCGGGAAGAGAATTAGTCATTTAATATCTACCTTGGACCTGGAGATGGATTCTCAATACCCTGTCCTGGTGTCAACCGTTTCTCCTTTTGCAAAAACTGTAAGGGATCTTGCTGCTCTTTTTTGCCCTCTGACCCAAGCTGGTAAAAGAAAAACACCTTTCCTCCAGGGCCAATCAGGACACCAGGCAATACTGCCCTCCAAGCTGCAGGTGACCCTTGTGTACACTGTGCATCCCGGGACCTGCTGGCCTGACTAAGGGTGACTTGAAGGTGAGCGGGCGCTTGGATCAGTTCACTGAGTATTGATCATCACTCTGTGTTGCCTGCGCAGAGCCTTCCTACTTCTCAAATCACGTTGTGAACATGACTTACAAGAATGTTAGCAGATGGGATGGGATAATAAGGAGTAAGTTGTAATTGACTCCTTGACTGGGGATTTCACCCTTGCCAAAGTGCTCAGTCAGCTTCCCGCTGCAATTCCCTCACAGTGCTGCTGTGAGGGTCCAGTGTGCCATCTGCGGGGCAGGGACGCCGTGGTCCTGCTGTTCCAGGGCTTCCCACCACGAGCTCTGCCTCCTACATTGTATGCACTTACTCCCCGACTGCATTTCAGCTACCCCCCACCTCACAGTCCGCTTACCCAGCCCTGATTTCTCCCTCCTTCAGCGAATGGCCATTTTCTTCTTGGCTACCCCCTGAAACTGAACAGATAACCTTTCAAAATCTCCCCCTTTTTTGACATTCTGAGGCTGGAACAGAACATGTCAGTCCAGACTCCTTACCAGACACTGCAGGTTCCAGCCTTCTCCCTTATGGCTCATGCCATCTGGGCCCCTCTCAGTTCCACTTTGTGGCTTATCTTTTCCCTGCTTTTCTGCAAGACCCAGCTTAAGTCTCCCTTCAGGCCTGAAGTCTTCCTGTGCCCCTGTAGTTTCAGATGAGGCACAGGTGTCCACCCCATCCGCAGAGTCCAAACTCCAGGTGTCTGTCTTGTGGACAGTGTAGCCAGAGCTGCCCTGCACTCTGCCATCATTTAGAGTATGTGACATGAAAGCAAGACTAAACAGAATCTTCATGCTAGCAGGAACTTCTCAGTTATCTAGTCCCCCTGCCTGGTTCATACATAGGAGAGCTCCCCAGAGAGGAGAAGCTACTTGCCCAAGGTCACAGGACATGTCAGTAGTAGGTTATAGCCTTTCTAGCTTTGCTGTACAAATGGGGCCTGGTCTGGGTGGGTTTCTGCCCAGTCAGCCTTGAGACTCCAGGGCAGCTGGACCTCATTCTACTTGCGGCGTCCAGCTCCAAAAGACCATCAGGCTCAGAGCATTCCCCCAAAAGCCACCTGTCCCATGGGTATTGCACAGCTTTGGACCCCGTCTGTGATGGGGCAACAGTCCTGGGGGAGAGCTGACCTCACAGCCCCACCCTCACCTCTCATGAGAGAAGGTGTGGCCTCGAAGGATCCGGGGCTGGTCCCTGTAGGAAGCTTTTCATTTCTGGCTTTGAGCTGGAGCCACAGCGTTGGGCTTCTGGGCCATGGGCTGCCCCTGGGTGCCTCCCACTCTGCCCTGGCACTAGCATGCACCCCTGTGGTGGGAGGGGGTCATCCTCTAGGCCTGGGAATGCTTTGGTCATTGAATGGCGGGGGGTCACTACTCGAAATCCTCCTGTTGTCCTTCTTCTCTCCTTCCTTCCCAGCCCTGGCCGAGGTCTGGGGCCCGCTCACCTGCAGAACTGGCGAGAGTGATTCATGTTGGGGCCCGCCTTGATGTTCCCTTTCTCAGGGTCATAGATGGTAGTGGCTCTGGCGTAAGCCCCGCCCAGGATGAAAACGAAGCCGTTGAGGGTGACGGCGGGGGCGTACTTGTTGTCTGTGGGGAGAGCAGAGCAGGCAGGTCAGGCCTCTCTTGGCCTTCCCTCTCCTTTCTTCCCCAGTGGGCCCTCTGGAGGAAGGGAGCTGCATAGACCCCCAGTCCCTGGCGTGCCCGAGAAGGCCCCCAGCGCAGGGACCAGCTTGCCCTTGGTCCAGGTAGCGGGATCTTTAGCTGCCCCTGGGCCGGGGGTATGCCTCCCTCCCCCACCCGCTGGACTTGGGTCTGCGGAACGCTGGGCTTAGCTGGCCCGCTGGGCTGGGGATACTGAGACTGAAGAAAACAAGGAGGTGGGGAGGCCGCACGGGCCCCGGGCTGAGGTGGCTGGTTCTCACCAATCATTGGGGACTCAATGAAGCTCCACGTGTTGGTCTGTGGGCTGTAAGACTGGAGGACGCCCGCGGCTCGGCCTGCCTCGTTCACGCCCCCAAACACGTAGATCTTGCCGCCACACACGGTGGCTGCTGCAGAGTGCACTGCCTTGGGCAGAGGGGCCACTGCCTCCCACTGGTTGGTGATGGTGTCGTACCTGTTGAGAGGAAGAGAAAGAGGGTCAGGGGCTGGGGCCACAGCTGAGGCTGCAGACATCGCAGCAGCACCAGCATCTGCTTCCTCTTGGCATTGCTGGCAAGGGGGCCCGTGGGATGGGTCACTCCAGGCCGCCGAGGCTCAGGCCCAGACTAGCCCTCCCAGCCTTGCTCCTGAACCTCATGGGGCTCTTTTCTCCTGGCTGCAAACTCTGTGCAGACTCTTGTCTCCATTCCTTTGCTCAGGCAGAGCTCCCCAGCTTCTGGGCCCCTTCAGCCCTCTCTGTCCAGCTCCTTTGCACCCTGCCATGCAGCATCCCCATGCCGAACATCTCCAGGCTACCCAGGCTCTGGACTGGAAATGACTTGGACCAAGGCAGGACAAGAGGAAGTGGGAATGGGAGTGGTGAACTGATAGGTTTCAGCCACTAACTGATGTTGCAGTTACGGGCAACAGTTGCCTTTGACAACTCAGGGTCTCTGGCTTGGGAAATTGGATGGAGGGGGAGCGATTCATGGGACAGACAATTCAAGGCTGGGGCCATCTAGGAGAGGATGATGATTTCAGTTTTATTCATGGGAGTTTAAAATATCTACGGGTGACAAATTGGGGGTGCACAGCAGGCATTGGGTATATTGGCTTGGACTAAATATTCAGCTTTGGGATCCTTAGCACACAGACGGAGACCGAAGATTAGGGAGTTCACAAGGGGGAGTGCGTGGGCCAGAATAAGGCTGAGGACACGCTGGGGGAAGGCGGACCTTTAAGAGGGAACTAAGTCTGTAGGGGAGTGAGGAGTTGGCAGTGCTGCAAAGCTCTAAGTCTGGAGGGTGTGACAAGAGGCCAAGAAGTCCCAAACAGGTCCTCAGGGCCTTGTCAAGGGTGCTTTACGTGGAATGGGAGGTGCAGAGCTATTTGTGTCGGGAATGAATGGGAAGCTAGGCAGTGGGGATGGCTGGTGGGGACTTCTGTTGGATGAAACTTTGCTGGGAAGAGTGGCAGAGAAGGTGAGACCTAGAAAGGCAGATGGAGCTGAGAGATGGGCTTGCTGATAAATGTTTACCAACCAGTTCTCCAGGGGGAAAAAAACGTCCTGGAAGGTAGCATTTGCTGTTTTCTGCGATGTAAACCCTCTCACCACGGCTGATTGCAAGTTACCAAAGGGACCTCACTGAACGGGCAGTTGGGAAGAGATGCGCAGTAGCCCCCAGTCAAACAGAATTGCCACCCTGGACGGACTGCAGGTGTATCTGACCTCCAGAGCACAGAGAATAGTATAGTAAAAAAATTAGGTAGTGATGAGTTTGGAGTATGGATTACCTTTGTTTTTAATAAAATTATTTAATTCTAAGTTTATATGATTTAAGTTTTAATACCTGTAAGCTGACAACTGGCTCGCAGAGTTTCCCAGCATTTAGCAGTCAGCTCTCACAGGCTAGTCTGAACCAGCCCCAGTACACCACGGGTTTTGTTTTAATTTTAGGGGCCAAGCTTTAATTGTGTTCACATGCTGATAGGATGGAGCCCAACTGGATAGGGAAAGATTAAATGTATGTGAAAGAGAGATGAGAGCTGATGATGGGCAGCTCCCCAAAGGCGGATGCCAATGACCAGAGTGGAGAGGGAGGCGGCGTCCTTTTGGGCGTGAGAGATCAAGGCAAGGATGGCAGCGTCGGCGCATTTGCCGGGGCTGATGGTGGGATGGTGAGAGCTCCTGATCGGTGGCCCCATCTGCTCTGTGAGGCAGGGTCAGAGCCAAAGTATCCAGAGAGTCTGTAGGGTAAGAGCCTTGAGGAGAAAGGAGAAGATGGCAAACATGTGCTCTTGCGAGTTGGAGAGACTGCCAACAAGGGACAAAGAGGAGGCCCTGCAGCAGTGAGGGCTCCTGGAGGCTGGAGGACTTGTTTGCAGTGGGGCCCATTTACAAGACTGTGGGTTTCCCCCCTGAGCAGTCAGCCCCAGGGGTGGCGTGGAGAAGGTGGAGGGTCCCAGGATTGAACAGACCTGCTGCGTGTGCATGCAGGACAAAGCGGCAGAGCAAGAGGGTGGGTGGTGGTGGAACACACCAGACATGGCCAGGAGAAGAGAGAATAGGAAGCAGGGCTGGAAGAGCAGACCCGAGACGGAGCAGGCTGGCCAAGGAACTGGGCTCTTTGATGTCTTCCAGGGCAGCTAGGGCCTCAATTTGCAGCTTTGCTGTTGATGGTTTCTGAGGGCTGCCCCAACAAGCACTCCCTCTGGACTTTCTAGCTGGTGCCCATCTACTGCTCACCACGTGGTCTTCTGCTTTTTTGTGTGTTCTGGACCCAAGGCAGGGTCTCTGCTGTGGGCTTGTTGCACCTCCACAGGTGGCTTTTCCCAGCACAACTTTCCCGGCAAGCACTTGGGGCTGTTCCCCCCATGAGCCCCCTTGGGGCATGAGCCATAATACTGTCCCAGCTCAGGGACCCTGGGTGATGGTCTCCCTTAGTCGGTGCCCCTGGCCCAAGACAGAGCTGCGGGAGCTGCTGCTAGACGTCCAGCTCTGTGCTTGCCAAGACTCAAGCTTTGAGAAGAGGCTGGAGTACCATAAAGGGCAGCAGGGGTGATTCAATTAAGCCCCAGACGAATGATATGTGGTTAATAGGTGAAGGAGTAAATGTCATTTTGGACAGTGTCAGAAGTTCAGATAACTGTTTTTTAAGCCAATATGGCAGACATCCAAAGAGCTCCTGCGGAAGGAGCTGGGCGACAGTGGAAGATTATGTGGCTGTTAGTCTTCAGGCTTTCAGTATAATGGCACATTCCACCAAATACGAATTTCCCGGGAGCTTGTTATTCCAGGTGGCTGATTGCCAAGCCACAAGCCCTAGTCAGCTCAATCTGTCAGCTTCCTGCTTGAGAAGGATATGCTAATGACATGCAAATGACCCCGCAGAGTGAGACGTTCTGCTATCGTTTATCCCACAACCACAGCTACTACAATATATTGCTATAAAGTATTAGACCCAGTTATTTATATAATGATATAATACAGGTTTGCCTATTGCACTGTTGTTTTAATCTATAATTATATAATCTTGCTCTATTCCTGTAATACAGTAATGTAATGTAATTATAATGTACCATATATCTCTTTCATTATCGATATAAGAGCAATTTGTACCATTAGTGCTTCCTGGGAAACAAAGCATCCTCGCGCCTGTCCCCATTACCCTGACCTTCCTGTCACCGTGAATGCTCATCGTTGCCATCGTGTGGCACAGAAATGGACTTGCCCAGAGGGCTCCAGCCATGCTCCCCGGGAACCAGTGGGTGTCCCTTTTGTCTGCGCCCTCCATCCCCACTGTGTGCACAGGGGTCTTGAAGTCTGTGTTCTGCCCCTACAAAACAGCTGACAGATCCCAGTGGGCTGAGGCAGGCCTCAAGGCACCTGTTGTCCTGGACTGCTCCTCCCTGTACTGGGGATCCCTGGGTGGTCTTGCTCCAGCTCTGTCTGAGCAGAACAGAGGCCTAGTCCCCAAGGAACGCTGGTGCAGGCTGCTCCCAGGCCCAAGGGGAGTGGAGCTTGTCCCCCTTCTTGGTGCCTTTGATCCTCAAACAAATCCCCGTATTTTATCAACAAGCGTTAAGTTTGCAAAATGAGTAATCAGCATCTTAGGAGATTAAAAATAGCTGACATAAGCAAGACAGGATGACATATCTAGCTCAATTTATTCCTACATAGAAAATGTCTCCTTTTCCATGTGTTTATTATTGGAGGACAAACGACTGCAAGCTTGTGTTTCCAGAAGGCTTGGGGCATGATGGCTGTGCCGTGGGTCCTGAAGGCTGTCAGCATCAGGGCAGACCCAGATTCAACAGCAGTATTAATATCCTTATCATCACACGGGGATTCCCATTATCTCCAAATCAATACGACAATTAGCTATTGTTACTGAGCCATCTCTGGTTCCACTTGGGGGAGTTAAAAGCCCACAGAGAAGATACAGAGCCTGTCTCTGAAACCATCTTCACTGTAACATTTGTCAAGTATCCAATTAGCCACTGAGGGGAAAATACAAAATGTGGAGCTCCACAGGCAAAAAGCTGTCACAAGGGAAGATGTGCTTCCTGTGGCAGTTGATGACATGGGCCAGGGCAGGGGGCTGGCATGCAGGAAGGGCCTGGGAGAAGGGCTCCAGTGGTCACAGCTGTGACATCCCGGATTGGAACCAGGGCCCGACTCGGCACTCTGAGGTGCTAGTTCCTCCACTGAAGCCTCCCCCATTCTGCTGCTGACTCCCAAACCTCCTGAACCCTTTCTGCAGCTTCTCCCTGAGATGTCTGTGCTCTGCAAGAACTGTCCCCCCGACTCAAAGGGAAAGACAGTATTTCCACCCAAAGAAGTGCCCACATCCAGCCTATACCCCTCTTGCCTATGCACGATTCCTACACTTTGTATGGTCAGCTTTATGTCGGTGAGGTCAACGGCATCGGTGAGGAAGCCAGCCTGTGACTTCCAGCAGAGGGCAAGCTTCCACACATGGCTCAGGCCCATTGGCTTATCTTTTCTAGAGAATTCTGTACAGTTGTCCAGACCTGTGTGTAGTGACCCATCCCTGTGTTGCAAGCAGATTTCCTGGGATGTGTGTGGAGGGAGGAAGGGAGCTCCCTGAGGTGTGGCCTTCCTGGCCCCAAGGCGGGGAGACAGCAGGGAACACAGAGGCACAGCCACTGGCTTGGCACCATCTGGGCCATTGTTGCAGCTTTGCCCTACATCCTAGCAGGTCTCTGGGCTGGTGCTTCCTGTCCCAGTAAGTGCCCTCACCGCCAAGTCCGTCTGTGCCTTTCTGTGAGTGGGCCTCCTGCCTCCAGCTTGTCTGACCCCTGAATGGGACCAGAGTGTCCCATTTCAGTGACTAGGCAGCTGTCATCCTTGCTGCTTCTACCTCCCATCTCCAGTCCTCTCCCTTTGCTGTGTTTGAAGAGCCTGGGGCTGTTGGTCTCTAGCCAGTCTCAGCTGAGTGGGTGTTGGGGAGGAGGAGTGCTGTGATTTTAGCTTTAGGTGAAAGAGGAAGCCCCTGCTGTGACCTTGGCCTCATTACCTCTCCACGTGGTCCATGTTGCCTGCCACGCCAAGTCCCCCGAGGGTGTAAATCTTCCCATCGTAGACAAGGCTATTGTGCCGGCAGCGGGGGACCGTCATTCTGGAGACGAGGTTCCAGTTATCGAGCAGGGACATGTAGCACCAGACATCGGCCAGCGTCACCCCTGATTCCATCCCACCTGTAGGCAGTATGGGAGGTCCAGAGAGTGGGCAGGGGGTGAGGAGGTGCCCAAGGCTGGGCGAGCCCAGACCCAGGGTCAGGAGGAGAAGCCTTCGCCGGACAAGCAGACCCTTCTGGGCCCTGGCCTTCCTTAGCCCTGGTGTGCGAGGAGACCCCTTGGGAAGTCTGTGCCCAGTCCCCCAGCCAGCCCCAAGGGGCCTCACCTGAGAGGTAGATGTTGTCCCCGGCGCTCACCACACTGAAGAACTCGCGGTCATAGAAAGGCAGTGAGGCCAGGGGGTACCACTTGTTGTTCTGCGGGTTCCAGCAGGTAACGGCCACCAGGGAGCGCTGGGTCATCCCCACCATCTGACGGCCCCCGACCAAAACGATGACCTCGGCCACACCTGCAGGAACACAGATGGGCACCCTCAGGACACTGCCACCGCTGTGGCACCCAACATTGTCATTGTCTGAGCCTGGTGCCTCTCTGGGGACCACCCAGAATTGGGCTGACCCGCTAAGTGATGGCACCTGCGTTTTGGAGGCTCGGGGGTGTCCCTCAATACCTGCTGAGAGACGGGGCCGGGTTCGGGGTGTCTGCATCTCCTGGCGGGCATGGGGCAGCATGTGGTAACGTTTGGCCTCATTGACCAGGTCCCGACAGGCTTCCGATGATTTGATCAGCTCCTCGTTGTCAACAACATTGAGCAGGTAGCTGGGGTGGATGAAAGGGAGGCGGACCACGGCCAGGAGCTCCGCCGCATGCTACAGGATCAAGGAGACACGAATCTGCTCAGATTATACAGGTGGAGCCACCTCTTGTGAGTTGTATGGAGAAGAAAGAAAGGAGAGGTGTGGTGCTGCACAATGTGGATAATTTGTTTGGTGTTGGTTTGGGAGAGTAGAGACTGCTCACCCAGGTTAGCCAGTGGGAGCTCCCGGCAGCTGGAGGGGAGGGGAGGAAGGGAGGGAGGTCTGGTGAGCTGCAGCTGCCCCTGGGCTGGACCACCGTTCCCGGATTCAGCACCTTCCCGCCTCCCCCAGGCCATGGGCCTCTGCTTCCCACCGGGATGCAGGGGCGCTGAGCTGAGGCTCCTCATGGTCACTGGGGTATGCACGGGGCAGGCACTTGGGAGCAGGTGGGAGGGCCCAGGAAAGCTGATGGTGGTATCAAGCATCCCAGTCACTTCTGTCAGAACCTGTGTTCCCCCCGAGTACCAGCAAATCCTTTCAGTGGCCTCCCAGTGCCTCTGCTTGGCCCCTGGGCCCTCTCTCCTTGACTGAAGGCTTTCCATGGACCAGCCTGAAGCCCCCTCCATCTTCTGGGCTCAGTGGTGGGATGGGGGTGCAGAGCCACATCTGCATCCTGGAGCCACCTAATGCTATTGACTGCAGCCTCTGGCCCGGTCCTCATACTTCTTATTGCTCCACATGCACAAAGTACCTTGTCATCTGTCTGCCCAGCTCATCTGGGCTCTGGCCCCCTGGCCCTGCTCTCCTGGGTGCTGCTTTCTGGGTGGGCTCTGGGCTCTCCTGCAGCTACTGCGTGTCTGCACTAATGCCCCGGGGTGGCTCACATGTGAGAAGCCAGGAGATTCTGTGTGAGCAGGGCCTTTGGGCAGGGCTTTCTGGTCCTGTTGGGGTGTGCTTGATCTCCTGTGACTCAGGTGCCCCTCTGGGGACCCTGTGCTCCTCTCCTGCCCTGATCTCTGGCCCTGGTTTCTCCAGCTGGCCCGTCCATGGGACTCACCCCCCCTCCCATCATGTGGTCCAGGTGCTCCCACCCATGGCTGGGGCTGCCTCTGCTGCGTCTGAGCTCAGGGGGGCCCCAGGGCCCCTTGGCTCAGGCACGTACCTCTCCCTGCAGGTACTGGGGCTTTGCACCCAGCCCTGCGGCCCCTTGGTCAGCGTTCAGGTGGAATGCCAGCCCTTGACAATCCTCTGGGGACTGACTTCTCATCTCTCATGCCTCCCTTCTTCTGCCCGTGGGAGAAGTTCCAGCTTCCTCCTGCTGGGCCTACTGGCTCCCATGAGCTCCCGCTGCTGGTCAGACCAGGCAGCCCCACCTCCTTCACTTTCCTTCATCCTCGGCCCAGACAGAGGGAGAGGGGAGGCTGGTGGGGCAGGCCCTACCTGTGCTCGGGACACAGGGTCCTTCTTGATCCACTTGATGACGGTCTCATATACCAGCTCCTCGGCCTTGGTGTTGAGGCTGTCATTGGAGATGTAAGCAATGAAGTCGTCCTTGGAGATGCTGAGGATCTCCTCCTGGGCCGCCACCTCGGGGAAGATCTGCAGTGCGAAGGCCTTGGCCATGTGGTAGAGCTCGCTGCACTGCATGGCCTCGGCCATGGCCAGCACCCCCAGGCAGTTGCTGGCCGTCAGCTGCTTCTCTGGGGGCAAGAGCACATGATCACTGACTACGAGGCCCCGGAAGAGGTCATCACCTGCTGCTGTCGCCTGTCTGAGCCCATGTCCCTGTGACCTGTCTCCAGCATCCACAGTCCCCCTGTGTCTCTGGAGCTGTAGATCCATTTTCTGGGTACAAACTCTGTTTCACACTGACTCTCCAGGAGGTGTGGAGTATCAGTACCTGGCCTGGGGCTTCCACACTGCCTGTGCATGAAGGAGGCCTCAGAGCCCAGGTCTGGGCTGGGGGCAAGGGTCACACTGAGGCTCGTGGGGTCTCCCATGATTATGACAGGCATGTCGGGGGTCACAGGTTCCTACTGTAGAGTCATGCCAGCAGTAACACCCCTCTTGTGTCCACCCACCATTTCCCAAGGGCCTCAGCCTCACCCATCCTGACCTTTAGGTCTGGGTCAGTCTGGCCGACTCTCCAGACCTGTCACGAGTGCTTATTCTAGCCTAGGTGTGTCTGAGTCCAGGAGCTCCTCACTTTGTGGGCCTAACTCTGGAGCTGTGGCTCCTGACTCTTCTAGATGGCTATTTCCCCCCCCCCCCCAACCAGCTCACTTCTCAGGCCCCTGGCTGTCCCCACCTGTCCTCAGCCCCTACTTCTTTCTCCTTCACTCCGTGTCCAGGCCCGGGGTTCTGGCAACCCTCATTTTCGCCCCTCCCTCTCCTGACTCCCTTTGGTTGGCAGCTCTGACTGTAGAGTAAATGTGTTCTCTGGGTCGGGGCTCGCTGGAAGTCCCTGACACTCAGATCTCCATCCTGTTCAGCAGGTCTGGGTGTCCAGGGGACAGTTCACATGTCGAGACCTGTGCGGACATCTTCTGTGTTATGTGTATTACTAAGTTAAAAAAAAGTTTTGTGGCTCCTTCATTCAGTGTTTAGATAATAAGGCTATGAGGTCAGGGTGCAGGCTCCCCAGGAGCAGAGCATTCACACAGCCCTGTGGCCCCATTTGTCTTCACAAAGCTGCCTGGACCACAGTGTGCCCTCTGCTGCCCACGGGGGAGTGACACCAGGTATTCTCTGTGGGGGTGAGTAAAGGCATTCAGTTATCCAAATTCCCCTCTTAAAACCTCTGTGTGAAACCCAGCTACACAGTGAGGTGGTCTGGGCCTGTACACACACAGCCTCCCTCCTCCCGCCCGAAATCCATAATGTTTTTGAATTTCTTGCCCATCTTTCACTTTTTTGCACTGTTCCCCCTAGGTAGCACATGTGCCCCCTGGGCTCACCAAGAAAGGACACACAGACTTTGCAGAAGGTGTGGAACTGGAACTTGCTGGCCGCCTCCAGCAGCGTCTTGGCATTGGCCGAGTCGATGACCAGGGAGCCGGTGTAGACAAACTCCAGCAGCAGCTCGAGGATGTCGGCCTGCAGGTTGGACAGGACGAGCTCCAGCTTCTCCCGACCGCACTGGCTGCCGTCTTGCACCGACCTAGGCACAGAGACCAGGGTGTCCTTACCTGCCACCCAGCGGCCACAGCGCTGCCTCCTCACAGGGCTAGATCTCCCTGCACGCCTCAGCCGTGCCCTTCGCTTTAGGACTCAAGGGACACGGCCTGACACCTGAACCTAATGACCTTACACGGGATCTGAAAAAGAAGAGTCTGAGCAGAGATGCCCAAAAGAACAGAAAACCCTGCTTCTCACTACTTGGCATGTCCATGCAAAAAAGATGCAAATCAAAAAGCATGAGCTGTGGATGGGAACGCGGACCAGGACTGGCCTCAAAGGGAAACAATACGGTTCGGCCCCGGTGCTGGCCCTGGATCCACCAAACAAGGCCGCCGGATCCCAGGCCCTGGGGCCTGTCACATTCGGTGGGAGATTCTCCACCAAGACCGAGGCTCCCGATCGGCTGTGATCACAGCCGATCTGGAGACGTCTCTGGATCGCCCCAAAGACTGAGGGCCCCAAGCTGTCTGGGATCCCCAACTCCAACCCCACCTCTTCCCCAAAACATATTGTTTCCTTTTAGGCATGGGAAGGAAGCCCTTCATGACATTGCTTTGAAACTGAGGACGAGACGAGATAGACGGACAGAATGGTCAGAGCTGGGAGGAGGGGAGGGGAGCGACCAAGGACTTCCGCCACAGACAGCCAGCAGCCATGACCTGGGGCCTGGCCCGGGGCGGGGCCCTCCTGCCACATGGAGCACGGGGTCAGAGGTCAGAGTGGCCTGCCTGTCGGGTGTGCATCGGGCTTATGAACTGGGGAGCAGGGGAGGGACACAAATATATAAATATGTTTATATCTGGTGTCTACAGAAATACAAAACCATGGCCAAGGCTCCTAAGGCCTGGCAGCCGCGCCCTAAAGCTGCACCTGGAAGGAAACAGATAAGATGAAGCAAAAATCACACCAGGAGGAAAGACACCCAGAGCGTTACGAGTCAGGAGGCAGGCTTCTCAGGGGCCCCTGGCTTGGCACCTCGTCTCGGCTGCTCTGACCAGCCCTGCTTCCCACACTGGGCCTGGTCCTGCCCACGGCTGGGCTCAGCCATGTGGCTGAGAAACAACTTCGGCATTGCCCACACTCCTGGGGATGCCAGGGGCTGGGCCTCTCGTGACTGGCCCCTGGGGTGCACCTGTGACTGGTGGTGGGGCTGTGGAGGTATCTGGAAAGTGAGCAGGCTAGCCCCAGAGCGAGGCCAATTCCTGTGTGGGCAGGGAGCTAGGGGACCTGGGTGCCCCTGCTCTGCCACCAATAGACAGGCCCCCTTGGCCTCTCTGGCCCTCAGGCTCCTCTTCTGCAAAACAAGAGGATTGAACCCGATGAGGTCCGAAGTCCCATGGAGAGTTCACACGACAGAAGCTGGAAAACACCCTTCCTACAAGACTCAGCGCCACATGACAGTACTTGAGATGCCACCATTAGAGCAACATTCTCTCCAGTCAGGCCTTGGCCTCCCAGGGCCTTTAAAACACAAATATGAGCAGGCAGGGAGCAGGTGAGGCTGTGCTCTTGCTGCCGGAACAAGCGTCCAGGGCTCCCTTCCCAGGGAGGGGGTGCTCGGTGCACCCCAGAGGGGCATTCTGCCTCTAAACCCTGGGCAGGCCCGGACCTGGGAGGGAAAGGTGCAGCTCAACAGAGGGCCTGAGCACAGCCCCTTCTCAAGCCCAGAGACACACTGTGGTGTTTGTAAAGTGACTTTACATACCTAGTCTTCTGTTGGTTGGCGTGCATTTCCATGTTTGGGTGCCTTTGTTAAATATAAAAATAGTTCATTACATGATCACTTGAAACCACAAATTCTGAAACACTAAGGCCACAGGTGCCACCTGGCCAACCTCTCAGTCCCCTTCTTTGCTGCCTCTGCCTTCATTCCTACGTGCCACTGTCTGGCCTTTCCTCCTCACGCCCTTCATGCTCAGCAGAGGTCACACTGTGCCACCAGGGCAAGGCTGATGGGACCCAGGCAGGGCCGTTCACCTTCTCCCAAGGCCCCGGACCATGCTGCCTCCACCTCTGGCCCACTGGGCACGAGGTCTGTGGGGAGTGGCTGGAGGCCTCTGGGGCCAGATGTGCTGAGCTGAATGACCATTCCACTAGGCCGGTCGAGGCTCTGTTGGTGGCTGAGTCCAAGATCTGTTGGAGATGAGGCTCCAGACAGTGAGGCCTTGTGTGGCTCCCCTGAATGTGCACGTTTATTGTCCACACACGTGTACATGAAGTGTGGCCCAGACAGCTGTGGGCTGAGGGAGGTCAGGGGCTGCTCTCCTTCCCTGACCATCAGACTGTCTTCGGACTGGACACAGTGCCCCTTACAACTCCTCCCTCTGAGCGGGATCCCCTGGAAGACATCACCCCTGATGGGTGACCATTCTGTCCCTCTCCTAACCTGGCTCTTGGGCTCTGAGAATCATGTTGCATTCAGTCCTTTGGAGTATCTGGGGAGCCTCTGGGCATTTGGGGCCATGAAGTGACCTTGGAGGGACATGGAACGGGGTGGCCATAACCGTGTCAGCTCAGAGCTATGTACCTGACACTTGGGGGTGAGCCTGCGGGTTCTATCAGAGATTAAAAGTTCCTGGGATCACCTTCACCCAAGAGGGCTGTGAGCTGGGGAGAGCCTAGAGGAGGGAACCCTGCTCGGCGGGCCTGGCTCTGTGGGTGTTCCAGGGGTGCCCTTGGAGATCCCAGCCTTAGCGATCTGCTCACCTGGGCTGAGAGCTGCCCTCTCCAGATTTCAGGCTGGAGCCCTCATCAACCCTCATGCACCTCAGTGAGCAGGCACCTTCAACCTTCAAGTTGGATGTGCACTAATGAGGGGGAACGGCAGGGCAGAGGTGGGCGGGCGGCGTCACGGAACAGGTGGTGAACGTGGGTGCTGCCCTGTTCTGCTCCAGAGAGCGAGCCTGCCCTGCCAATGTGACTCCCACTCTGTCGCATGTGGAGGTGCTTAGGCATGGCACGTCATCAGCTCCAGGGCCCAGACACGGGCACACACCAGACCCTCTGGGCCTGAGGACTTGCACAGCTCACATGGGTGCGGGCCCACCCATGGCAGCTTGGCGATGGGTCTGAGTCACGTCATTCTGCCAGCATCGAGGTGTGTGAATCTCTCCTTTGTTATCTGGTCTTCTAGCCACATTATTATACCAGGAAAGGGAGCAGAGTGCCACCTGATAGGCCCAGCTTTGCAAGGAAGGAGGGGAAAGGCAGACGGCTTGATCATTGTGTTAAAGTCCCTGGGGCTCCCCTATGTCCGGGATGTGTGCCACTCGACTATGGAGATCCTTTTAGCTTCCCCAGGAGAGGAAGATGGAGTGAGGAGCCCAGAGCTTATACACAAGCCCAGAGGCTTGTGAACATCACCTTGAACAATCAATTTGTACACCTACTTTCATTTGATATGAGAAGAGGATGTAACTCAAATGTGTCATTGGCTCCAGCAAGCTTTGTGAGATCTGGGTTTGAGCTGGAAGGCAGAAGCCAGGTCTCTGTCCCATCTGCTGCAATGAGGGCCTCTCTTTTGGGGCTGAGCATTTTCTCCCACAGCCAGGTGTGGGGAATATGTTCAGAAATGCTGGCAGGGAGGGGACTCTAAAGAACGGTCCCCTGTCCTTTCTGACAGGGCCTGCAACCTGCCCAGCTGGTGAGTGAATTCCGTGTCCCCTGGGGCCCTTTGATCCCAGGGGATAAGTAAAGGAACTTTTCCTCCATGGGCCCAAAAGGAAGTCTAGGGCAAATCTGGATCGTGCTCGTGGGGCTGAGAAGTGACTCTGGAGAGGCTGCAACCCAAGGACCCCACTAGGTCTAGTCTGTTCAAAATGTCCTCCCTCCTTCCCTGGCCTGGGGCTCAGCCCACTGTCCTCTCATCCATCAACCCTGCTGGGCATCTGCCTCCGGCCTGGTGCAGGCGGGGCGTGGTTCACGTCACCCAGAGATGAAGCCACAGCTCCTTTTCCTGCGGGGTTTTCACCCGGATTGTCACAGGACTCCGAGGGGGGCAACAAAAGGATGGTGAGGCAGGCCTGGCAGCTCAGCACAGGCTTTGCCCTGAGCTTCCTGACGGCCTGGGGGCTCTTCCCATGGCCCTCAGGCCCCCTCGAGTCCTCCCCATTCCAGAGGATACACCCTTCCTGGGCATGTGGGTGGAGCCTGCGACTCAGCTACTACGTCAGGTGGGGACTGTCTTCTCTTGGGCAGATGCAGTGGTGTTTCCAGCAGATATGCACACACACACACACACACACACACACACACACACACATACACACACGAACTCTGCATCTCTCTTGCTTGCATATCTGTCCACACTATCAACCCTGAGATTTCACTTTCCTTCTTACAGACTCGGTGCACAAATAAAAACTACATTTTTGTTCTTCCCCAGATTAGCAAATGCATGATGAGTGCGAACTTTGGAGTCAGCCCTCGTTCAAATGCCATATCTACTGGTCACTTGAAATTCTCCGGGTCTCAATGTCTGCGTCTGTAAAATGGGGATATTAATGGCACCTGCTTCTCAGGGTTAGGGAGAGGATTTCTGGGATGACATTAGACATCTCTACAAGTCTCCTTGTGGGCTGAGTCTTGCCCTCGTCAGAGGAAGGAGACAAGAGTTTGAAATGAAATAAGGGAAAACTAAGGGAAAGAAGGTGCTGCCACTTCACCAAAAGCAGGAACACATGTGAAGAGAGCACACACGGGTTAAGGGGGGTGGCCTGGAGAAGAGGGCTCTGGGCAGGACATCAGCCTGGTCACGGGACTGGTGGGCAGCTGAGCTGGTCAGGAGAGGACACAGGGAGACCTGGCTCTCCCACTCCCTGTCTGTCATCGTCATGAAGCAAAATCTGACCTGCCAACCCCAGGCTGAATACCAAGCTCTGTGGTTCAGCTCCAGCCTCCTGCACCAGCCTCGTTCTCTCTCTCTGCACCCCGTGCTGGGCACGGCAGCAGCATGGCATCGCATGCAGCGCCTCAGCCCCCTGTGATCCTGGGACACTTGCTCCTGCTTGTCTCCTGTCTCTGGTGCGCTCTCCCGCTTTGCCTGCCGAATCCCATCCTTTGTTCAAATCCCACGCCAGCCGTCAGTTCTCAGGGACTGCCCAGAGAGTTAGGCGCTGTGCCCGTGAGCCCTGAGCTTTCTGTTTCTGCACTCGTCTGCTCTGCCAGCCACACTTCTTTACAAGGCCCCCACCAGACTGTGGGCCCCCTGACGGCACAGCCCCATCTCATCTGGCGATTTGTGCGAGACTGGCACCCAGGAGGGGCTCCTGCTTGTTGGCTGAGTGGAGAGTCATGCATGACCTGGTTTCCCTAGGTTTGTCCTGTGCTTCCAGGATGGGTGTCCACCTGGGGGTGGGGCTGGGTGCTGGGGCAGTGTCCTCACTGGGGCTGGAGTGCTGAATGTGTCACCTGTCCCAGGCTGGAGGTGGGGAGGAGTCTAGCTTGAGTCTCCAGGCCTGGGGCTCCTGGGACAGCAGAGGTAGGTACCTGCCTGACAGCACTCACCTAGGCCCTCAGGAAGATTAGGACTGGGACAGCGTGTCCACAGATGGTCGCTACTCCCTCTGTGTAATCTGAGCAGCTGCCTGAGAGGGAAGACCCTGCACAGGGCTTGCTGGGCGTGGGGACCACATCTGTGCGGCTGCCGCGCTTGAAGTCTGCAGAGCCACAGACCCCAGGAGACTGAAATGACAGGAGACTGTGCTCTGACCACTGAGAATATGATCTTCTCAAGGGTTTGACGTGGCCAGAAAGGAAACCACCTTGCTGTAGAGAGTCTGCTCTCCTCCCCAAGAAAGAATCTGTTGGAGCTATTGGCAAAATGGCGACACGTGCCCATGGTCAGGACAAGGGAAGTAAAGCTTAAAATGGCTGTAAATCCACACTGTGATCTTCAGCCACAAGGGCACCTCTGGCTCTGACGTGGCTTCCCCACTCCCAGCGTGACCCTCACGTACACTGAAGGCCCAGCCCTGTCTCTCAGATCTCAGACCCCTCCTGGCTCAGCTCCATCCAGGCTGCCCACCAGTGGCTCTGCTTGGGTGGCCCGCGGGCTGCCACAAACATTCATCTTCCCCCAGCTCTCCTGACTCCGGCCCAGGACCTGCCTCCCTCTCTGTGACCGCACCCTTTTCCTGCCTGGGTATTTGCCCTTGGGAAGCCTCTCCAGGGGTGGCTCTGCCCATCCCTTTGTCACTCTGGAATGTCAGAGCTGGAAGGAAACCTGGACATCATTTGAACCAACTTCCTGTTTTACAGATGAGAAAACTGAAGGCCTGAGCGAGAGGAAGGGACTTGCCTGGGGTCACAGGATGAGTGGCAGAGTCAGGTGCATAACTCAGGTCTCCTAGTTCCCAAGGGGCACCCTCTTTTCTCAAGTGACTACCTCTTAGCCAGCACCCATCATTTCTAGTTAGGGTCACCGAGGCATCTTCTGCAGCTCTCCCACCTTCATCCCCTCTCCACTTCACCTGACTGCCCCACATCCTCAGACCAAGCCCACGGCCCCACTACCCATTCCACCCCAGTTCTCACCCATCTCTTGGAAGGCTATCTCCTTGTCCTCATGGCTCATGATTGTTTTTGTTCCCCAAATTCCCATTCTAGGAAATCCGTGTTTTGCCTGGAAAAATTCTAGAACATTCCAGGCAATCTATTCCTTGGCCTGCCCAAGATACCTTCACTATTTTGGGTTCCCACCTAGTGGTGTCTTCTCTGTTGTGTGCAAGAGTTTGGCTTTACCTGTAAGGTCCCTGATGGGCTCCTATGCTCCTCTTGCCCACATCTTTCCAGCCCTGGGTGGGGCCGTCACTCAGCACCAACCTGCCCCTATATGCTGCCTTCTCTATGCTCACCCGCTAGTCTGGAACGGGGACCAAGGCTGTCGGATGCCACATTTGCACTCCAGTGGCCAGGTGCTGGCCTCTGATAGTTCCAGAATTTGCCAAGAGTGGCAGCATAGAGACCTCCCTTGGCCTGAAGGAGCCACTGGACATTCCCCTTCACCCCAGAGCTCATGCGCCTGACCCCTATGCTCGGACAGAGAGATCCCAAGCGCTGGGGCAGGAGACCCCAGCTGTCCTTCAGACTGGAAGTCACAAAGAGCCTGCCCCTTCCTGCATGGCTGCGGCCAGCGTGGCTGGGTGGGGCTTGCACGCCGGGCAGCTCAGCTCTAAGTGAAAGGACACAATGGGTTGGAAAGGAGATGCCAGCCAGTGTGCCATCCTGAAACAAAACACAGTCACTCTGGGGTTAGTTGGCAAGTCCAAACACAGCATTGGGAAGCAAGCAGAGGTCCTGTCCTCCCACTCTGAGCACAGTCCCGGCTCAGCGTCCGCCCCGGAGAGGCTGCAAGGCAAAATGAGCAGCGGCATTAATCTGCTGATGGGTGAGAGAAACAGGAGCGTTACCCTGGGCCGGGCCCTGACTGCACTCCCCCACTAAGGAGTAGGAGGTGGCCCCTGACTTCTTGGCGAGGGTATGAAGCAGACAGATTTTAAAAATCAACATAATGAAAAAAAGATGCTCATGCACCATTGAGACTTATTCAGGTAGAAATAGCCTGGGCAGAGGGGAAGGGAGCAAAGGCTGAGAGAGACCGTGTTTAGGACACGCCTGGTCTGTGCTCAGACAGCGCCGGTTTAGGCTCAGTCACAGTATCAAGGCATGCAGAGTGAACGAGCCTTTGGCTACGAGCCTCTTCTCCCTGACTCAGCCTGTGGAAAAGAGGCCCCTTGGGGGCCTCATTCTCATCAGTGGGGGACAGTCTAGCCACCGTGCTTTCCTGGTGTTAAGTTCACCATCGCCAGCAGTGATGATGGCGCCGGGGACCCTGTGCTGGCCCAGTGGGGGCAGTGTGCAGTGGTCCCTTAAAGTGGAGTCTACAGTCCTCCTAATCTCAGGGAGGGCTTGCGAGTCACTGAGAACTTGGAATCCTCGGGGTAAGGCAGGGGTGTTGTCTACTGCTGGCAGAGGCCCCTGGTGAGCAGCAAAGCTGTGTGGGGCAGGCTGGGGGCAGAGGCTGCCCTGCGGCTGTGTGTGAGAGGGCACTCGGGAGGGGGAGGAGAAGGAGAGATGGCTACTGGCTCTGTGACAGGGAGTCACGCTTCAGGAACCTGTAAGAGAGGGGAGGAGAAAAGCGACACAAAAGCGTCCTACAAAGGAACAGACCCGACCACAGCTGGAAGGAAGGCAAACCTTTGAATCAGGTCCTTGAAATACAAGCTGCAGGAAGCTAGAACATTTTGGTGGACTTCAAACTCTCTGCCTTCAACAACAATTTTCAGGTCTGTAAACGCTTTCGCTCTGCGCTGCTGGTTCAATTCCTTCAACATTTCTGCAGAACAGAGAAGACAGACAGGGCCAGGTTCCCATTAAGAGGTTTTTTTTTTAATTAAAATTTTTTTTTCAAGAAGTAGAGAAATAGGAAAATACTTGATACTGTTTCTTGGCAAGACTGGCTCAACACTGACAGTCAGAAGGAGTCACAGACATAATGCGTAAACAAGCAGCAACTGGGAGGGACTACGTGACCGAAGGACCAACGACTTCCAAAAGCAAATAAACAGATTAAAAAAAAAAAATCAAACCCAGAAATTGAACGGCTGGGAGAAAAGGTTCCCATACTGACAGTCAGAAACATAGAGAATACATTGTCACAGACAACTCAAAACCGTTAAGTAACTACGGACAAGTTCTCCAAATGCCAATGAGTGCCGATGTATTGGATACCAAGTAAAGCATGGCATTGTGATGTAAGATGGGCTGGATATGGTTCAAAGGAATAAAAACCACAAAACCTGCAAAAACAGCGTCCCTTATGTTAGCCACTCATCACCATGGTGGGAGCGTGAGTTTCGTGGGGAGGGACACTGATTTCGGAGGGGTGAAGTGGGGGCCGGGGAGCACGTGCTTCCATGGCACACTTCCAGGACCGTTTTGGGAAGCAGGCAACAGGCAGGGGCTGTCTGCACTTCCTCCCATTCCCTGGGTCATTCTCTCAGGGTCCCACCCTCTCTTGGGGCTCCAGCATGAACAGCCTGGCTTGCAGCCCAGCAGGTCCCAGTGCGTGGCGTCTGGGGGCTTCCCACCCTGATGCACACCTACCTTTGCCCGGTGTCTTGGCCCCCGGGGCTGGCCCAGAGAGAGCCTCACGCCTGTGGGCTCTGAACCTGGGGATGTCAGAAGCTTCTCCCAGACCCACCTCAAGGCTCAGAAGTGTGGAGGAAAATCTGACAGCAACTGCTTAGTTTATATAAACTCATTCGTTTGCAAAAGTTAAGGCCTTCAGATGACCAGTACTCCCACCAGCCTTGCCTGTCCTGCCTGCCCCCTGGGCCCACTGGACAGAACCTGCCCTTAGCATTGCTGGTAGCTGCACATCAGAGGCCCATATTCTTGGGTCAGAGTGACCCACTGTCAGGCAGGGTTCTGTCCTCGGGCAGGTGAATGGGAGGGAGATGTCTGTAGAATTGAGCGGCACCCTTGAGGCCCTCCACCATCACTCTGAGCCCTCTAGACCTGTGCTGAACCCTGGCTTCTATTCTGGAAGGACCCTCCAGCTCGTCCAGTTAGTCACCTCTGTCCACACGGGCCAGCATCAGCTGCCAGCCAAGATGCCCTGCTGAGCCCAGCTCTGCCTCTGACACCTGTTTGTGGACAAGCCCCTGCACCCCAGCCTCTGTTTCCACATCTGTAAAATGGAGATAGAGGTTCCTGCTCTGTTTTTGGAGCCTGGTGAATATCAGGTGCTCAGGTTCATGGGTGGGCAAGGGCTTGTGGACTTTGAGGTCAGGTGGGCCCTTTTTCGAGAGGATCACCAGGCTTGGCTCTGCTGAGGACCAAGGAAGGCCATGAGGTGGGGGGCCAGGAGCACACCCCACATGGATGGGGGGACTGAGGTGTGTGGGCAATGCTGAACTGCTGACCCACTACCAACTGCACACCAGGCTGAGCTGGAGTCACAGCAGGGCACCTGCAGGGGTGGGGGTGAGCCTTGAGAAGGGTCCCCATGGGTGTGCTCAGGCCTGGAGCAGGGGAGACCAGCAGGGCACAAAGCACCAGATGGGGGATGTGGAGCACCCCTGTGGGGCAGATACAGGGAACAAAGGGATGCAGTGGACAGGCCGACTGGGGTCAGATGTCAAGAGCCTCGCGAGGGGGCTTGAGCCTAATCCTGTGGGCACCAAGGAGTTGCCGTGGCTCTGTGTGGGGCAGTGACCAGCTTGGACGTGGGTTTCAGACAAAGAACTCTGGCAGCCACACGGAAGGCTGGCCAGGGAGTAATGGCAGCCAGGAGGCAGCAAACACCGTGCAGAGAGCCAGACCTCGGAGCCACACCCGAGGCAGGTCCTGAATGCGGCCTCCAGCAGCCACGTGACCTTGGGGAAGTTAATATATCATCCCTGAGGCCTGTTTCTTTTGCTGAAGGTTAAATGAATTAGTCCAAGGTAAGCTGTCAATCGTGGGCCTGACCAATAGTGAGTGCTCAACAGGTGGCAGGCTTGATGTTACTGGTGGCAGCGGCTAATTGCTTCATAATCCAAGTGAGAGATGACAAAGGCCTGAACTAAGACAGGAACAGAAAGGGCAGAGGAAGACAAGTATTTAGGCTACAGGTGCTACGGTCCGTAGTGCTGGAGGGAACTTGGTGGGGTGTGGGTATGGGAAACATTACCGGTTTCTGGAGGGACACCAGGAACGGAGCAGGGGATGACTTCAGCTTTGGGTTAGGGCCAGGGCCTGTGGAGAGAGGTGCAGGAGGCGGTGCTGGGCCCTGGGTTGGGCGAGGCAGTGGAGACCTGCAGCAGAAGCACAAGGCCTGGCCAGGGGCTTGGCTCAGGGAGAGCCCGCAGAGTCGGGCTGGGTTAAGGCTGAACTGCTAGGCTCACACATCAGCTCCAGAAAGAGCCACCAACCGAATTCCTTCTGAAAGCACGAGCCAGGTGGGTGATGTCACCTTTCTGAGGGAAATTGTATATGGGGAAAAGATTCTGGGCTGGAATGACAAAGATGTGGGTCCTGGTTCTCACTCCAGCTTTGCCGCTAACTGGCTATGTGACCCTGGGCAGGCTGTTCCACTTTCAGTGCTGTGTCCTCATGCACCAAGGGGCACCTGCTCTGTTGCCACACTGCAGAGAGTGACAGCTGCAGCCCCACATGCCTGCTCAGTTAGCCACGCTCAGGGGCCAGGAGAACACAGAGGTAGATAAAATGCCACTCCTTCCAGGCCCACCTCATTCTGACTGGTTTGGAAGATTTGACTTCAAACTAAGGTCCCAGCAATGGCCTGGGGCCTCGGCAGCAATCCCTCCTGCCCTGGGAATTCTGGGCAGGATCTGGAATGTGCTTGGAGAGCTAGGTCATTGCTGTAAATGTGGGCGCTCTCTACTCTACTTGGTGGAAATCTGGATTTAATAGCTGGGCAGGATTACTCAGTTTCAGAAGAATTTTTCAATTTATGAAAGTGCTCACCAGGGGATTCCTTCTCACAGCAGAGCCCCGAGTGCATTCTAAGTATTGATCAGTGAGTATGTGCTTACTGCTGCTGGCTAAGTGCCCAGTGGAGAGACGGCATTTCAGCATCTCGGGACATCCCTACTCAGGATCCACGGGAGGAAGCCAGCACTGACTCTGGGCACAAGCTGCCTTCCTGCCCACTCCTGTCTTGTCAAAGGGCAACCCCTTTGTGTGTGAGGGGCTCAAGGACTGGAGGCTCTGGGGAAGGCTGCCAGGCTGTCACACCAGTGCCCAGGATGGGCATTGTGCAGGCCTTGGGCAGCCCTGGCAGGGGCTCGGTCTTCGGAGGGGACTCCAGCAGCACCCGGCGCCCACAGATATGGCTGCCTCAGGCTTGTGGGGGAGTGACCTCAGCATCAGGGGATTGTCGCTGGTCTCCCTGGCTTTAAGTGGGGTGGCCACCTGTGCCTTTGGGACTCCCACCCTTTGCCTCACCCACACAATGGCTGCCCCAGGCCTGGGGCCTTGCTCTTCAGTGGGGAGCTCTCTACAGCTGGGACCACCTGGCAGAAAGTATAGGCCTGCTCCCTCACTAGGCCTTCTCCCTGGCTCCCTGTAAGGGTACTTAACACTCTTTTACATTGCCCAGCCTCTTTTACGTAATACCCCTGCCCTCCGTCTTCCTCACATGCTCCTATAGCATCCTGGCTTACTTCTTTAGAGGATACTGTGTTATGATTATTTATTTACATGTGTGTCTCCTGCACTAGATGGTTTTTATATATATCTTCAACACTTAGCACAGGGCCTGACATATGTATAACTGGTATGGAAGACTGCAAAAATTCTTTGCAGCCCCCTGCTTAAAAGTGTGGAGTTCATTTCCCCACCCTTTGAATCTTGACTGGCCTTGTGATTTGCTTTGGACCATAGAATGTGGTCAGAGACATTCTGGGGGTGTGAGCCATGGCCTCAAGAAGCTTTGCCTGCTTTTGCCCATTCTCTTGGGGCCCCTGCCACCACTACTATATGAACAAGCCTAGGCTAGTCCGTTGGAGGGTGAGAGAGCATGTAGAACAGAGATGAGCTGTCCCCAAGGGACCATTTATGCCAGCCAGCCCTGTCATTGTCAGCTGAGCCCGACCCAGATCAGCTGAGACCAACCAAACTGCAAACCAGAGTCATAATCTGAATGGTTGTTGTTTAAGCCACTAAATCTTAGAATTGCTTGTTATGCAGTAAGAGCTAACTGATAAAGAAAGCATGAATAAATGATGGGAGTTAAGTGCTCAGAGAACTTTCTTCTTTGCTAGTTTGGTTTGAAGCTAATTAAAAAAAAAGCTGTGCAAAATTTACCATGTTAACCATTTAAAACTGTACAGTTCATTAAGTACATTTACACTGTTGTGCAATCAATCTCTAGAACACATCATCTTGCAAACCGGAAACTCTATACCCCATCAAGCAACTTCCCATTCCCCTCTTCCCGCAGCTCCTGACAGTGAGCTACCATTCTACTTTCTGTCTCTATGAATATGATTACTCTAGCTATCTCATATTAGTAGCATCACACAGTATTTGTCTTTTTGTGGCTGGCTTATTTCACTTAGCATAATGTCCTCAAGGTTCACCCACGTTGTAACATGTGTCAGATTTTTTTTCTCTTCTAAGCCTGAATAATACTGCATTGTATTGTTTGTCCAGTCATTTGTCCATGCACACTTGGACTGCTTCCACCTTTTGGCTATTGCGAATAGTGTTGCTTGGAGGCCAGTTCTTAACACCCAGTTATAGACATCCCTAAGTGCCCTGTCTCAAACCCCATTATGAGTGGTTAGGGTGCACTAGCTCTATGGACCCAGCAGCAAGTGTCATCAGAAGGAAAGGGGCCACTGGGGAGGGTCTGCCTGGGGTTGGATGCTTTACTTAGAGGCCAGTGAAGCCACAAACAGAACCAAGACTGGAGATGAAGTTGCAGTCAAACTTCTGCATATTTCTCACCAAACGACATAAGTTATTTGTCAGAGACTAATGGGCTTGTTCCAGCTGGATGAGAAGGGCTGTCTGAGGTGGTAATAAAGAGGAAGAGATGTCAAATATTAAAAGGCAATGAATTTCAGGGGCTTTGCAGCTGAGAAGTCCATTAAATCAGAGCCCCAAGAAAAGTTGTGTGACCAAATAATTTTTCTCAGAGCTCAAGTAAGAGCTCAGAGAGGTGATAAATGCTCCTATTTCCATTGGTATTTATGACACATGTTTGATAAAGGACCTGAAAAAATTATAAACTCAGAGCAGTTGTGAAATATACTGAGAAAGCCCAGCGAAGACTGTGTCATGCAGGCTCAGAGGATAATTCATCCAGGAACGGAGGAGCCCGACACGTGCAGACACTGGGGGGACAAATTGGTGGCTTTACCCAAACACAGCCTCTTGCTGCTGCTGCTCAGCCAGGCCACCACTGGCTCCCAAGCCTCTTGCTGCTCTCCCCCCTCCCCCACTACCCAACAAACCAGATATGCACGTCTCCCTTTCTCCTTTTCCAAAGAACTGAGCTCAGAATTAACCCTGAGGGCCAGCTGGGCTCTAGCTTCCAGGTAGGACAGAATAGATCAGCTGTGGACTGTACACCCAGCCCAAGTCAGAGGGGTAGGTCCTTGACTGGGAAGTCGCAGCAGCCCCAGCCCCGTGGCCCCACATGGGCAAACCCTCCCGGGGTGGGCTCCTCTGGAGAAGGGAGGCGTGCACGGCTCAGACTTCTCGTCTAATCTAGACTCTCAGCGAGGAGACCTCCTGACTGTCCTGTGGTCCACATGGAAACTCCTGCCATGTATCTGCAAGGGAACAGAAGACCTAAGAGCAGTCACCACCTCTCACCAGCCCACCTTTTCCAAGTTGTCCAGTGCTGGGTGGCAGACTTATTTCTCAAGCAGTGATATTTGTCACTGAAGGCCCTTTATGTCCCTACAGCCCCTAGCTCATGGCCACACACAAGTGGGTGCTTGATATGCATTTGCTGGGCAGAACCGAAGATTACTTTCTGGTCTGAATATCTTCATGCCCTCCAAGATGGTATAAAAGTTGGTTAAGTTTTTCTTTAAAAATTTTGAAACCCTCATAAAACAGAAATATCCCCTCTCTTCCTCCTGCTTTGTGCTCCTGCCTCCTAAGTCCAGAGACTAACCAGAGGCAGCTGCCAGCCTAGGTTTGGGGGCAGCATGATGGGGGAGATCTAAATTAAGCTGCAGAATCACCATGACTCCCTGTGACCTGATACAAGGGCTCTTTCTCATTTAGAAGCCCATCTAGTCAAGGAATGCCTGATCCCTTATTTCTAAACTCCTCACCTTTGGCTCCAAGAGACTTCTATGACTATTCTTACCTTCATCCATAGCTTCTCTTCCTGTCCCCACATGCCCCCCAATCCTTTCTCCAAGCTCATGCCCAGTATGTCCTGTTTCTTCATTTGGGTTGTTTATTTTTCTGCTCCTTTGGCCAAGTCTTCACTAACACTTGTTTCTTAGGGCCCCATCCATCCCTTAAGCCTCAGCTTGAATCCCATCCTACAAGAATTCTTACCAGTCCCCACCCCAGACCTCTCCTGTGGTCCCTTGAGACCTTGTTGGTGTCTCAATTGCAGTAGAGCTCCCTGGCTGCCTGATTTCAGAGGAATGTCTGTCTGTCTGCCTCCTTTTTAGGTTCTGATCCTGGATGGTTTGTCTTTCTGGCCCCTTGTGCACCTGGCACCATGTTTTGCACAAAAAGTTCCTCTCTGATTTGGAATTCAGGGTGAGTTACGACCAGATGCAGACACACTCTTGGTGGTAAGAATAACTTCTCCAGAACAAGATCCAACAGAATCATCTGAAACGTCACACTTGTGTGAAACTTGGTGCATGAAAGAATGCAAAATCAAGCCCCCTGTAACTTCAGGAGACACCAGTGTTAACAACAGTTATGAGCCACAATTTGTATGGCAATCTATGGTTGCTAATTCATTGTCTACATCCTCTTTGGAGAGGGGGTGTCCATTCTGTCCAGCTCCAGTGGCTTTGTAGGGCCCTAAAGGGCCCCCTTGGCAAAGACCGACAGCAGCTTCAAAACAGACCAAAGGGAATGGTCTTTTGTTTGGGAAGAGATGAGGGAAAACAGGCGCAAGACTGTTAGGATCCCAGCACCAGTCTAAGGACCTTGGCCAGAGGGTGTGTCTGGTCCCAGGGAATCTGATGTCTGGGGCCAGGGGTGGGCACTCATAATACTCTCATGATGCTCTGTGCCCCCATGAAACTGTGTACTGCCTATAGTATATGTAGAGACACTGCTTCTTTTCCATTGGAAGGTAAATTCTTGGAAGCTAGGGTGGCAGGGGCATGGGTGGTTCTTGGCTGGAGGGACTAGGGTCAAGAGACCAAGACAGATAGTTGGGGTCAAGAGAGAGAACCCAGTTCAGCACCTTGGAGAGCTCTAAGTGCATAGGGCAGAAAGCTGGAGGTCTATGGAGAGCTTGGGGCTGTCCTGGAGCAAGCAACTAAGTCTACAGCTGGAGGCTGAGGAATGGACATTCCCTTCCCGAAGCAGACTCAAAACTTCAGATGCCTTGTGTAGTTTGGCCAGTTCGTTTATTCATTAAACAAGTGTTCTTTGTCTCCTGTGGGCTGGGCACTGGGCCAGGTCCTAGAGTCACATGTGAATGGACATGTCTGCAGACCTGAGATGCTCACAGTTTAACAGGGGACACACCAGATGACTGTGATGCCAAGTGAGAGGAGTTTTAGTGTGGCAAGCACTGGGCAAGGAGGCACAGAGGAGGGATGGCTGGCTCTGTGAGGTGGAGCATAGGGAGGCTTCCCTGGGGGCGGGGGTGGGGTGGTTAAGGGAATGTTGGAAGGGTAAGCAGGAGCTCCCCAGCTGGGCTGGAGGGACAAGGTGTGGCCCTCACGGATTTTATGTGTGTTGTCTGAGTGTGTGGTGTGTATAAGTATACCAGCATGAATGTATGGTGTGTGTGAACATATGATGTGTGTATGAACACACATGTATGCATGCATGTATGTGTACGAACATATGTGCATGCTTGAGCATGTGGAGTGAGGGGCAGGCCCAGACTGTGAAAGAAACAAACCCACAGTGGCCTTTATCCCATAGGAGGCTGTGGGCCATTGGGGGATTTTATATGAGAGGTTGAGAGAGTCAGGTTTGTCTCTTGTGCTCAGAATCAACCATGAGTGGTTGCACCCCACACATGCAGGCTGCCCCCTCACACATTCCTCCTGCCCCCTGGTCCTGTGCACACACCATCAGGCACTCCCATCTACTAGATTGCCTCTCTGCTATTCCCACTCTGATGCTCCTCCTCTGAACTTCCCAGGCACAGTCAGCCAGCCAAAGCACATTTGTCAGGTATCTGCAAGGTATCAGCCCTGGGCTGAAAGCTGGGGTGGAGGTGGGGGCTGAAGAGGAGGGAGGGGTGATAGGTGAGCATGAGAGTCCTGGTCCCGGGGCAGAGGGCAGCTCAGAGGAGACACAGGTGCTCACAGTGAGAAGCTGGACAGGAGTTATGTAACAGTCTGCAGTGGCACTGGAGGCCTTCTGAAGAGGGAGAGATGGGGATCTGGGGAGGGAGGAGTTGGGTGGGATGGCCAGGAAGCACAGAGGGTGTCGGGGGACAGCCAGCTATGTCACCATGGAGAACCAAATCACATGAGGACGAGCAGTATTCTTAACTTACGAGCTCATGGTCTAATGCACATGTACTGAGGACCTATTCTGTGCTGGGCCCTGGGCTATGGAGATGAAACGAGCTTCCCTCCACAAGGAGCTCAGTCTGATGGGGGAGATAGATGCTGCAGTGGACATAGGTGATTTGGGTTGCTTGGCATTGGAACCCCCTTTCTACTGGTGAGAACCCTAAGGTGGGAGGGGAACTGGGCCCTGTCACTGTGGGAGTTGAGCAGACGTGGCTCCATGGCAGCTGGCATGTGGCCATGAGGCTAGGCTTGGTTGGCCCGATGCTCATGCCCTGGACTTTGACACTCCAGCTGGTGCCAGCTGACGATGACAATGACGGCGTGGTGAACTGGTGGAGTTGGTGGCCCAGTGGCACTTGAGCATCCATGGGGAGCTGGTGCCAGTGTAGGGTCTCCAGCAGACCATCCCTGAGGCTGTGACCAATTCCCAGCCTCAGAGAAATACCTGGTTCTGCTTAATGCTGTCAGAGCTGTGGTCTGTGGTTGGCATCCCAGGACCCTCCATGGTACAGATACATGAATGCGTTCACGCTACACTGTATCACATGCAGCCCGATCAACACTCCTGGCAGCAGAGCCTGCCTGAGATGCTGGGGGCACAGGGTGCAAGTGGATGAGGGTGGGGGCTTGGCCTGGTCTCAGATGTGAGTGGGATTTGTTCACAGGGAGTTCTTATTAGGACCTGCCTGTGCAAAGGCCCAGAGCCCGGAACTGTTGCAGATGCACACTGCCGGGGCAGTTGGCAATTGAATTAGGGCTGGAGGTGGGGGGGCAGGCAAGTCTGAGGCTGGAGCATAGGCAGGGTCACCACGACAGGCTTCATAAGCTGCATTAGGGAAATGAAAAAAAAAGATCCAGGTCACCTGGGGTTCACCAGGCACTGCAAATCCCACCAGGAGACAGCGAGAGCCGCCCCGAGCCACTGCTACTGCTGGGCAGTGAGCGGTGAGGATGAGGCTGGGCCTGGAGTGCGGAGGTCAGAGGACGAGGGCTCTGAGCTCTGACAGGAAGCAGGAACTCAGGACGGGGAGCGTCTACGTGGGACTGGGGCCGAGGGGAGGAGTTTCTGAGTGCTGTCCCTGCCTTCAGTGCCCCAGGGTCACCCACCAGGCTGGGCCTGGGGCCTGGCATTTGCAGCCCAGGTGCGGGTTGCTGCCTCCTCCTTTCCGAATCTGTGGATGAGCCCCTTGCTCGGATGGATGCCTGAGCACCTCTCCCAGGCTGTAGGTGCAGAGGCCCTTCTATGCAGAGGAGCTACTGACCTGCCCTCTGTCTTTAGCTCTGGTCCCAATTTACAGTTTTCTGTTTTACCTTTCACTATTCTAGGGGCAAGATGTCAGATTTCCAAATATAAACGAGACTCTGCAGCCAGCCTCTGCCAGAGGATTTGAGTAAAGACTTAGACTGAATGGACAGAGCTCACCTGAGGCACCTGGGGGCTGGTGGCAGCTACCACACCTCCCAACACAGCCCAGCCCCCTGGCAGAGAGGATGGTTCCAGGTGCTGAGCCTGGACGTGCAGATGGGTGACATCTGTTCCTCATCTGGTGTGCAAGTGGAGAGCATTCACTGCCCCCCATTCCTGTGCACAGGGCCCCCTGCCTCCCTCCTTCACTGCCCTACATTCCCAGAGGGCCTGGGCTCTGCACCCCTGACGGCTACACCACCACTCCCTGTCCTCTTTCCATCCAGAGGCCCTGGCTGCCCTGCCTTCCACCTGGGTGCCTGGGAAGCCTGGGTGAGGCAGCTGTTTGAGGGGGTGAGCTGAGAGCCTGGCTGGGGGAGAGGCCCCGCAACGGGTCCCAAGGTTTCTGCACCCAACACTGCAGACCCGGCAGGAAATAGAAGGACCATGAGGGTCCAGATGAGAAACGGGGTCTCAGATAACCCAATGGCCAGATACAACCCTGAAGCCTAAATTCTCATGTGCTCTGTCCCCCAGAAACTCGCTTTGTTCCGAGCTGCCTGGAGACTTAATCCCAGCCTGATAGAGCTTTGGGAAAGTCAGCCACCTGCCTCAGAAAGGGACACGGGTTTGGAGGAGCTGGGGAGGACAAAGTGGGCGGGCAAGAGAGGGGGAAACACAGCCCTCCCCTACCTGCTTTAGCAACAGCCAGGACTTCCCCAGAATTCTGAGAGCTGCAGTCCCAGAAAATCAATCAATACTTTTAAAGGATTTGCAAGAATTAGTGCACTGGAGCTGGAGTACCAGCAGTTCAGTTACCCAGGTAAAGAGAGAAATGAAATGGAAACTCCAGATGCCAGGGGCTAAGCGCAGCTCCGGGCACTGAATCACACCGCAGAGGAGGATTTGCAGCCAAGAGAACGTGAAGTGAGGAAAGGGGACTTGTGCCCCTGTGTGCATGTCTGGAGGGGGTGGCGACCCACCTCAGCCCCACTCGTGTCCTCTTCATCTCCCGGGCGGGGGTATCTCTCCGTAGCTGTTTGCCTCTGGGTCTCACCCCTCTGCCGGGCCTAGCCAGGGTCAAGTCTGGGGCAACACACATCCTGTCATTTCAGGAGAGGTGTCATTTCTGGTAGTAATTTCAGTTATTCATACTGCTGATGGCCTTTTAATCATCATCAAGTAATCATCATGATCATTCTAGGTAAAGCAGGAAATAAGCAAAAGAGAAGAAAGTGGGGCTCGCCTTTAGGTGATAAGGCCCTGGCACAGAATTGGAGGTCAGGTATGCTTTAAAGTGCCTGGGCTGGCACAGGCATCACACCTGTGGAGAAACCACAGCCACCCGCGAGAAGCGGGTGCCCATCACACTGGCCAGTGGGGCCCTCGGCATGCACTGGTCTGTGAAGGAGACACCCAGCCTCGGCCCCGGAACGGTCCACAGGTGGTCTCTCCTGACATCCCCAGTCCCATCCCCTCTGGACTGCCTGCTGTCTGCCCTGGTTTAGCTCTTACCCCGCCAATCCCTCCCTCCTCCGTGTGTAATTTTTGCCTGCTGAATTCTGCCTCCCATTAGACTGCGAGCTCTGGTGGGGCAGAGATGCCACGGTTCATTCTCTGAATCCCCAGAGCCTGGCACAGCCTCTGGAACCCTGGAATGGGTCTCAGCGAGGCCCACAGGTGATGAGCGGTGACACACGTGTCCAAGACTGCGAGGCAGGAAGGACAGGCCTGTTCGGGTACACGGGCCTGTGCTCCTGGACCTCCCAATTTCCACCCCGTGGGACCCTTCTCAGTGTTCCCATTGTTTCTGCTGAGCTGCCAGCTATGATGATACCCATCTCAGCCGGGTCCCTGCCCCACAGGTATTTAGCCCGGCAGTCTATCTATGAGACTCTATAATAAACTCTCACGGGGAGAGATGACCCAGAGGAACCACGCTGCAGGGGTGGGGCTGGGCTTGCGGCTTGGCCGCAGCCCTGGGTCCTGGCGCAGCTCTGCTCTGGATAGGCTGCATGTGGAGGCGTGTGTGTGTGTGTGTGTGTGTGTGCACAGCTCCTGGGGACCACCCACTGATTGAGGGTGGGCACGGAGGCAGCTCCACCCCTGCATAGACACGAAGGTGAGAAGCCCCAGCCCAGTCTCCTGGACAGGCTGGGTCCAGCATGGATCACCCTACATTAACGGAGCGCCACTATATACATGGGGCAGCAGACCAAAATGACCCAGCTGCCCTACTTTCTGCTTCTCCAGGTTTCCTGGCACAAAGTGCAATTACACACTCACTGGGGTGATTCCTGTGGAAGGGGCTGAAGGGTGTGGTGTGGACGTGGAGGGACCGCGGCCAGCCTGCCTTGTGCACATGTTGTTCCATCTGGGACGCGCTCCTCTTTCTCATCAGAGAACGTCTACCGTCCTGTAAGACCATCTCTGGTCCCACTACACGGGCTCCCCACACTGCCAAGGTGAACTTCGCAGCTGCCAGCCCTCGGGCTGTGTGCTGCTCAAGGGCAGGGACCCCAGCACTGGGCACCAGGAGGGGCAGGGAGGGTTTGCTGACAGAGCAACCGGCTTTGACCAAGAGAAAGTGGAGTCCCTCTGGACTCGGGAGGGTTGAGGCACTGCCGCCTGGCCAAACGGAGGGGTGTCCAACCAGCTGGGTCTGCAGTCCCCTCCAGAATGTGGCCGGGAGTCCTCCTCGACTCTAATCTCAGCCCTCAGCAGGGACCAGGGATGGGGAAGGCACTTTTGGGCCTGACCTAGGAGCTGTCCTGTCACCTGTGGGCCCAGGCCTCCCTGCCCAGCTCCATCCCAGTGGGGAATACTGGTGTCCATTTGGTGCTCCAACTCCTTCGAGGAAGGGA